ACCTCCATAATGAAGAATCTATATCAACTAATGGGCAAAATAGTCAGCTAGCATTAAATGACAATATTAAACTCACAAATATCAATATTAATCCTAAATTTAAATGGATTAAATGCCCCAATCAAAAACACAGGCAAATTGAATAAAAAGTCAAAACCCATCAGTTCTCTGTATCCGGATCCATCTCATAAGCAAGGACACAAAAAGACTCAAAACAAAGGGTTGGTGGAAGACTTGCCAATCAAATGGAAAGCAAAAAAAAAAAAAAAAAAAGAGAACAGGAGTTGTAATTTTCGTCTCTGACAAAATGGACTTTAATAGTAACAAAGACTAAAAGAAACAAGGAAGGACATTACGTAATGGCAAAAGGATCAATGCAACAACAGGAGTCAATGATCATCAATATATACGCACCCAATATAGGAGCACCCAGATACATAAGGCAAGTTCTTAATGACTTATAAAGAGACTTGGACTCCCGCACAATAATAGCGGGAGACTTTGACACCACATTGTTAATATTCGACGGATCAACGAGATAGAAAATTAGCAGGGACATCTATGATTTGAACTCAGACCTGGAACAAGTAAACTCAGTGAATATTTATAGAATTCTTCACCCCAGGTCCACAGAACATACTTTTTTTTTCAGTATCATATTACACCTATTTTGAAAGTGACCACATAATTGGAAATAAATCACTCTTCAGCATTTGCATAGCATTTCACAGATTTAAATGAAATACTGGTTGGCTGTGTTATTTTCTTCCCTTATTCCTTCCTGTCTCCACTGTTAAGCCCGATTATCGGCATAAAAGAGGTGTTTAATACCTATTTTTAGATTGCATTCCAGCCTGGGCAATAGAGCAAGACCCCTTTTCTCTCTCCCCCTTTCTCTTTCTCTTTCTTTTTTCTCTTTTTCATTCTTTTTTTCTTTCTCTCTTTCTTTCTTTTTGTCTTTCTTTTTCTTCCTTTCTAGAAAAAATAAATAAATAAATAGATTTTTTTAAAATTTGTGGGCTGAATGCAGCTGACAGACAATCCCCCCCGGACACCAGGTCCAGAGGGCAGGCTCCGCTGTCCTGGGCCACACGGCAGGCGGGACACATCCGATGCTAATGACAAAGCCGCGTTCGGAGACCCAGACGGCACCCGTCTCAGTCACGCCTCTCGTTTGAGTTCTGATTTGGGGAGTGCGGAAGTTCATGATGCCTTTTTCAAAATAAAAATAAAACAGTCACAAGTTTTTTTGTTTTTTTTTTTTTTGAGACAGTGTCTCACTCTGTCACCCCAGGCTGGAGTGCAGTGGCACAATCTTGGCTCACTGCAACTTCCACCTCCCAGGTTCAAACAATTCTCTTGCCTCGGCCTCCCAAGTAGCTGGGATTACAGGCACCCGCCACCACTCCCGGCTAATTTTTGTATTTTTAGTAGAGATGGGGTTTCACCATCTTGGCCAGGCCGATCTTGAACTCTTGACCTCGTAATCCACCCACCTCGGCCTCCCAAAGTTCTCGGATTACAGACATGAGCCATCGCACCTGGCCACAGTACTTTTTAAAAGACCAAATGGAATTTTAAGTTTTGGCCTTAGCTTTGCCTAGAAGTCACTGACCTGGCCTCTCCCAGTCCTCAACGCTCCCTGCCCCTCCGGTGGCCCCTGCTGCCTCTCTGTGGCTCCTTGAGGCATTTGGTTACACGCATAAGTTCTTTAGCGGTGATTTCTGAGATTTTGGTGCACCTATCACCTGGACAGGCCACGCCTGGCTTGCTCCTTCCTCAGGACCTTTGCACGTGCCATTCTCTCGGGCTGAGCACACCTCAGCCCTAGCACTGTAAAGTTCACTCCCTGAGTGTGTGGAGGTTTCTATTAACCGTCACCTCTCTGTCCACCTGCCTAAAGCTCCCCGCTCAACCAGCTCTGGCCTTAAGGGCACTTCTGCGTCCACTTGGGGCCGCCACACATACTTCAGCTGGTGGCTGTGTCTCCACCACGAGGATGCCAGTCCATGAGGGCAGGGCCCTTCCGTGTCTTGCTCACTGCTGTGTCCTCCATGTACCCAAACAGAGCGAGGCACACAGTAGGTGTCAGTAAGTGCCAGGGGACCCAATGCCTGATTCTCGGCTCTCCCTTTGGTTTGGGAGTGCTAGGGAATGCTCCCACCTTTGCTCCAAGAGTAAGCATGAAAAGCCCACGGTGACTGGGGAGGGGGTTATTCATATCCAGCCTGGTCCCCAAGGCCTTTGATATCTTGGGGGGTGATCTTGCAGACAGCAGCTGCCCAGATCAGCTGCAAGGTGGTTTGGCTTGGGAGTGACAGAGAACATTCCCACTGCCTGAGTGGGGGCGTCCAGGAGGCAAGTCCAGCTTACTCTTTAATGCACATCCGTCCAGCCTCCTAAAGCAGGTGACAGGTGGTGAGGACCTCAGTGGCTCAGATTTGGGGCCAGGACTGCAGTCCCCTCCAGCAGCTGAAGGATATGCCACCAACTTTGATCAGAAAGGTGGCGTCTGTCACTGGATATCGGAACAAAGGCATCCACCCTGCAAAACGCAGTCTGAACTCCAGGCCCCTATGGAAACCCGGCACCACCCACCCCAGCCTATTCCTCAGGCGCTGGAAAGCATCAGCCATGAGGCGCAGGAGACAGTATGGGGAGCTGATATTTTGCCCACATCTGCACCTAGAAAGTGCTCTCCCTGAGTTATCCGTGAACACAGGGCGGTTAAACACCACTCAGCAAAGTTTAGCAGGAGTTAATGTGGAGGTGGGGCCGTGTAGGGTGGGCAATGGGTGGGTGGGCATGGCCACAGCAACAAGCCCCAAAGCTGAGAAGAGGTGGCACCAGGCAATACATTCTTTTTCAGTAAAAGCAGCCCTCCAAACCTGGCAGGCACACAAGAGTTTTGTTTGAAAAAAAAAAAAAAATCACAGGTAGTTAATGAGCTGCACAGTGAAATGGGGGACAGCAGGAGGTTGAAGGGCAGGCTCTCAGCCACACTCCCTGGGTTCTAGCCCAGCACAGCCACTTCCTGGCTGGGCAACTTCGGGCAGGTAGCTAACCTCCTCTGTGCCCTGGCTTCCCCCTCCGGAAAACAGGGCTAATTCGAGTGTAGCCTTCATGGGAATATTGTGAAAATTAAATGAATCGATGTAAATAAAGAGCTTAAGACAGTTGTCCTGGCACGCGGTACAAACTCTCCAAATGCCAGGTATCATTACCCATGAGGAAGCAGCCCCAGGCTTTGCTTTTAAGCCAAATTAAAAGATCAGGGCAGCACAGTTCCATACCTGGCATCTAGTGAGCAGGAAGGAGAAAAAATAAAGTCGAGTAGAACAGCCAAGACAAGTAAGCCAGCCATGCGATTCTTGCGGCAGCCACGGGCTGGCCTGCATGGCAGAGAACGCTTCCAGAAAACACTCCAAGGAGGCTTCTGGGTCACGGAAGGCACCGAAGAGAAGGCGGGTTCCCCATCCTTTTTCTCCAAGCCCCACTCTGCAAGGCACCACGGGGATTCGGTCCCAACGTGTGCAGCCCAAATACACGACAGTGCCAAGTCCCAGGCGCTCTGGCAGGGAAGCTGGCCCCGTTTAGACAGCAAGATCAGGTTCGCCACAAACAGCCTTGGTCACCTCTAGCAACTCCTGGAAGTCCTCACTGCCCCTTCCACACGCCAGGCTCCCTTAAAGAGACCAAAGTTCAAGTTCGCTGCAAGATTTGCTCTAAGATAGCGACTCCCAGACTCGGCTGAACGTGACAATAACCCCGGGAGACTGAAAACTCCTGATGGCGAGCTGCACCCCCTATCAATTCAGTGAGACCATCCGGGGGGTGAGTGTGGGTATAGTTTAAAGATTCTCCAAGTGATTCCAATGGGCAGCCAAGTTAGGGACCCACTAGGCTAAGAAACAAGCAAGGCAGGAATGAAGGTCAAGTCATGAGGTTTGCGGTGGCGGGACTGCTCCTTTCTCCTGTGGGGAGGAGGATTTTGTGCTGGGGGGAGGCCTTTTTTGCCCTGTGAGTGCCAGGCAGGCATCCCAGGGCCCTAGGAAAGTGGAGCGGAGCCAGCACACACGCCCCAGCAGACAAGCTGTTAAAGTGGGCAGGGCACAGCCAGAGAGCGGGCAGGGCTGGGGAAATGGCACTAGGACTGTGGCTACCTCCACTCATTTCAACTTGTCATTTCCTCAAACTGCAGAGGTGCCCGCTCTGCCCGCATGGCTTCCCTGCCTGCCAGGGTGGTGTCCAGTCTCCAGCTGGGTCCCCACCGGAGTCCACCCCCAAGCTGGGCTGAGTCTGGCAGGAGACAAACTTTCGAGTTTCCTGACCCGGGGATCCAGCCTCCCCCGCCCGCCTCAGCTCCACGTCAACATGCCTTAACATCCCGGGAAGGAAGGGATCCTGTCTGGGTTTGGTTATAAAAAAAAAAAAAAAAAAAGAAAAGAAAAGAAAAGAAAAGAGAAGAAAGAAAGAAAGAGAAAGGAAGGAGGAAAGAAAGGAGGAAAGAAGAAAGAAAGAAAAAAGAAAGAGAGAAAAAAAGAAAGAAAAGAAAGAAAGAAGAAAGAGAGAGAAAGAAGAAGAAAGAGAGAGAAAGAAAAAGAAAGAAAAGGCTTTCACGTTGGCAGCCCCGGGACAGTAAACAGGGCACTCGTAGCCGCAGAGGGGCCGGGTCCAGATGTCTGCAACGTGCCGGGCCTCTGGGTGCAAGCCCACCTCGCCAGCAGCTAACTTCTTTGGGAATTTCGGACCCTTTACCCCGCCCCGTCAGCTCCCCGTTATTACTGACAATAGGAAGAATCGCTCAGGAGGGAGGCCCACCCCCTCCCCCTACACACCCAGGTCCCCACCTGAGGAGCGTGGCTGTCACTGGCCACCTCCACGGCTGCGGGGCAGGGAGAGGAGCCCCGTCCTGCTTCTGCAGTGGCGCGTCTGGGGGCCCAGCCCTCGAACCCCCCAGCCGCGCAGCCCCCCGTTTGGGCGCAAGAGAGTCTCCTTACCGCTCTGGCCTCGCTGGGTCCCGGGGGCTCCGAGGAGGCGCCGCTGCCCCCCGCGCGCGCGTCGAGGATGCCGGGCGCCAGGGAGTAGAAGGGCGGGCTGGGGCTGGGGCTGGGGGGCAGCCCGGAGTCGGGGCTGTCCAGCAAGCCCTCCCGGCCCGGCTCCTTCAGGCTGTCCTCCATGTCCTGCAGATGCAGGTGGCCCACCATGTCTAGGGGGCGCGGGGCGCGGGCCCCCCGCTCCTCCGGGGGCTCCTCCACCGCTCTCCGGGGCCCGGGGCAGGCGGCGGCGGGGCGAGGGCTGCGCGCCCGGGGACCTGCGGGCACCGCGAGAGGCGGCGATCGGGCCCGGCGCCCCCCACCTCCAGCGCCCCCGATCCCCGCAGGCCTGCCGCCTGCTCGCCCCCACGGGCCGCGCTCCTGCCCGCGCCGCCGCCCTCCGCCCTCCGCCCTCCGCCCTTCGCGGCGCCCGCCCGCCCTCCGGGCCCGGCCTCGCCTCCGCGCCGCGCTCCGCTCCCGCCGGCCGGCCCAGCCCCGAGGCGCACGTCGCCGCCCGGCCCTCTCCGCACCTCCCCGGCCCGCGCCTCCTTTTCTAGGCGCCTCCTCCTCCCCCTTCCTCTCCCCGCCCCGGCCTGCGCGGTGGGCAACCGCCCCGGGCCGGCCCCTCCGCAGAGGCCCTCCCGCTCCCGGGCACTGCGCGCCCAGCCCGGCCGCCCCGGTCCCGCTCCCACGAGGCGCGCGTGTCCCCCGCTCCCGGAACACGCGCCACACCCGCGTGCCCAGGGGCCTCGTGGGGTCCCCAGGTCATCCCAAGAAACACGAGCCGTCAGCATCATCCTGTTTCGTGGTGCTCCTAGAGGTTTTCTCCATCTCATTTGAAGTCCCAAAAAAGGCAGCTTAAGAAACTTTATTTCAGAGTTTTCTTTTTCTCTGTAACTTACAATCGGTGGGGAGGAGGGCCACCACTGTCCCAGTACTGACATCTCGGTTCCCCGCACACCCGGGGCTGGCTGTTTGGGCCTTGAGGGTGGAAAGCATTGCGGGGAGCCTGTGGGTGGGGGGCGGCAGCGGCGAGGAGAAGCACTTCCGGGAATCCCCAGGCATCTGGCTGTTCCTGCACTTTTTCCAGGCAGGTCCTCGCTCATGGACAAGGGTCCTGCCCATCCTTCCCTTCTTTTCCTTCCTCCCAAGAGAAACGAACACGTGTTTCCCGTCCTTGCTGTGTTCTTATCAGATGCCTGGAGAGGGGTCTGCTCATTTCCAGCGCCCAGCCACACAGACGCCCCACCCTTCTCCTGAGGATGCATCCTTCCATTCTGCAATGGGGCAGCTACGGGTGTCTACGGATTGCTTCGAAAAGCAGGAATGTGGGAGAGGCTAACAGGGCAAAGAGAGCAGGGGGAGGAGGGGTGAAAGTGTGCACGGATACACTCACTTCCATTCACCCCTTTGTCTGGATAGAGCAGAAAGCCCGAGATCAGGGCCGGGAAGCCGGGTGCCAGAATCTGCTCTTTGGACACCCACAAAGTGAGGACAGCACTTTGAAGCGTGTTCTCAATCTCCCACTCTGCACCCAGCCTTGGCCAGACCTCAGAACAGACGTGCCCTGTAGGGGGCCCAGTCTGATGAGAGAGGCCACAGTGCACCAGGAAGCTAAGGCTGTGAGCCTAAGGGAAGGAACTGAATGAGGTGCTGCACCCAAGAATAGTCCCAGGGACACCTTAAGACTTGGGTATTCAGGGAAGGCTTCTTGGAGGAGGCGATTTTTAAAGATAAGATCTGAATAACCAAGCAGTGAGAATTAGTGCAGCATGTGGAAAGAGCAGCAGGGCACAGTCTTGCCACAGCAGGAATAAGGTGCATGCCGGGACACTGGTGGAGGGTGGGGCCGATTCCTGGGGGCCCCCAGGTTGAAAGGCATGCACTATCACCAGGTGAATTTACAGCCCATTTCCATATCAGCCAGGAAAGAACGGGGAAGTCTGCTGCCCAAACAGAACTAACCAGAGGTTTGAATATCTGGAACATTCCGGAAAAAACAAAATAGGACAGCAGACGTTTGCTTCAATTCTTAGCCAAAGCAGGCCTTCTTCAGCCCTTGGGCGACTTGACCAGAATGAGCAGGGGAGGGGGGATGAGGAGGGCGTCCCTTCTGGAACACAGACACCTGGAAATTCACATTTCCCAAATGCCCACCCACCCAGACCAGAAGTCTTCCGCTTCCCTGGAGAAAGTCTTCGGCAGGAACTAATTTCTTCTTATCTCATGGATGGGACCAATGACCCCTTGGCCACAATAGCTACCAAGGGCAGGGCAGGATGTGGGCAAGGCAGAGTTTCAAAATTGCAGGGCTCCTCTGCCTTTGTTTAAAATGTTGATATTTTAAGGGCAGGAGCGGTGGCTCATGCCTGTAATCCCAGCATTTTAGGAAGCTGAGGTGGGTGGACTACCTGAGGTCAGGAGTTCAAGACCAGTCTGGCCAATATGGTGAAACCCTGTCTTTACTAAAAATATAATAAATTAGCTGGGTGTGGTGGTGGTGGGTCCCTGTAATCCCAGCTACTCAGGAGGCCGAGGCAGGAGGATCGCTTGAACCTGGGAGGCAGAGGTTGTGGTGAGCCGAGGTCACGCCACTGCACTGCAGCCTGGGCATCAGGGCCAGACTCCTTCGAAAAATGAAATACAATAAAATGTTGATATTTTGTTCTTTTTTTTTTTGACAGAGTCTCGATCTGTCGCCCAGGCTGGAGTGCAGTGGCGAGATCTCGGCTCACTGCAACCTCCGCCTCCTGGGTTCAAGCAATTCTCTGCCTCAGCCTCCCAAGTAGCTGGGAATACAGGCGCCCACCACCACGCCTGGCTAATTTTTGTATTTTTAGTAGAAACGGGGATTCACCATGTTGGCCAGGCTGGTCTTGAACTCCTGACCTTACGATCCACCCACCTCAGCCTCCCAAAGTGCTGGGGTTACAGGCGTGAACCACCTCGTCCAGTTGATATTTTGTTCATCTTGAACAGCTTGCACCCATTTGACTTTTAAAACATTGCAGCAAGACAGCATTTGTGGCGATTCTGTGTTTGGAAGATGTCCTGAAATTCTCCTGGCTCACTCTAATCCTGGCCCCCTTGCGCCATTCATCCTGATCTAGAAGCGCACTTATCAGGAGTGCGGTCATGACTACGTGTGTCCACCTGGGTTCTGGAAGTTTCCCCTGAAACAGACTGCCCTGTGTGAGCAACGTTGGAGATGTATGCATGCGACATGGCAGGAAGAACATGCGTGCACTACAAATGTCAAATCCCCAGTAAGCGGCCCACACGGATCACCCCAGTGACCGTGACCTCTGACCTATTCAGATCCGCGGCTGCGGGCTGGGGACCGCCCCTCGGCTGAAAGCCGGGTACTGTGGAAGCTTCTATTGCTCATAGCGCCAGATGGTCTGCAAATGTCAAAGAGGGGAAGAAAGGCCAAAATTTCCATGAATTCATTTGAGCCAGGGGCTAGCCAGTGGGCAGGGCAGGAGGTTCTTGTGGCTGGTCTCAGGAGGAAAAGGGGTCTGAACCCCTGAAATGTGAGGCCTGAGGAGTGAAAAAGAGGGTCTTTCAAGATCGGGGTGTCTGCCCCAGGCCCAGTGCTGTAGGAAGGGACAGAGGGAAGGAGGCACCTGGTCTACAGGGGTCCTTGGGCTGTGCTAAGGGATTGGGGCCTTATCTACCAGGGATGGAAGAATCTGCAGAGGTTTTGAAGCAGGTTTCAGGAAAGATCTGATCTAAATAGCTTCCAAAGTTCCTCACCATACACACATATACATATAAACAAAGTTGGATTAAAGACAGGGGAGTTTGGAGGCAGACGGAAATTGAGCAGAGAAAGTAGATATGTAATAGACAAGAGGTACTGGGGTATCCCAGACAGACAAGGCGTCCTAAAGAGTGGGTCCCATGCTGCAGAGAAGGGGAGAGGGAAGACCCCTTTACCGCACACCCCTGGGGAGGAAGACCTTCTTCCACAAGCTTCTGAAGTCATTGGCTTTTAAGAGCATGCGTTGGGGGAGAAAGAAAAGTGACCTGGAGTGACCCCAAGCCCCAGGGCTCCCTAGCACTCCTGGGTCGGGGGAATTTTCTTTCCCAGGCTGCTCTGTGTGGGGAGCTCCACTCTGTGAGGAAGGCCAGAGGGAAGGGTGTCCAGAAAAAAAAAGGCGTTTTGACAGAAAGCCACTAGCCACTTGTTCCAAGCAGCACTGAAGGAAGGTCCTGGAGCTCGGGCTGCGCTTCCCGACAGCTGACGGAGCCCTCCACCCGCCGTCGTGCACCAGAAGCCAGGCTGCCTACTACTTCCATTTTCAAACACAGAGGTCCGGGCGCAGGGCTCACGCCTGTAATCCCAGCACTTTGGGAGGCCGAGGTGGGTGGATCACCTGAGGTCAGCCGTTTGAGACCAGCCTGGCCAACATGGATAAACGCTACTAAAAATACAAAAATCAGCCAGGTGAGGTGGTGCACATTTGAAATCCCAGCTACATGGGAGGCTGAGGCAGGAGAATCGCTTGAACCCGGGAGGTAGAGGCTGCAGTGAGCCAAGATCATGCCACTGTACTCTGGCCTGGGCAACAGAGCAAGACTCCAACTCAAAAAAGTAAATAAAAGAACAGAGGAAGGAAGGAGAGAGAGAAGGAAGAAGGGAAAGGAAGAAAGAAAGAAGGAAAGAAAGAAGGGAAGGAAGGAAGGGAGGAAGGGACGGAGGGAGGGAGATGGAGCCATGGAGACTCAGAGAGGTTAAGTGACTGCCTGAGGTCGCACAACCTGCGCCAAGTAGAAAGCCACACTGGAGGCTGCGAGGCTGCATGGGGGGGGAAGGCTGTCAGTGGGTCCCAACGGATCGTGACACGGAGGCAGGAGGACTGAGGTCATCATGCCAGACAATAAGACCCTTCTGTGACCTGCAGAGACAGCCCCGAAACAAGGCCATCTGAGAGCATGCCAGAGGCCCCGAGGCCCAGGCTGCACTGAACGCAGAGCTCTTCTCATCTAACGGTGATCACTCACAGATCGCGTCCCACCCTTGCCCACCCTGCGGGAAGTCCCCCAAGGCCAGGGCTTGGTACTCCTGCTTCCCAGCGGGCTGTGCACGCCAGGCTCCACCAGCCTGTGTGATTGTGCTTACCGACGCACCCAGCAGGGCACCAGCCATTCAGGCAGCGCGGTCCGGGGAGGTGTCACTGGTGGCTTCTTTAATCAGACGTGTCTTGCTTCCTGGTTCCCCAACGGTTGACATCACCATCTGAAAAGGTTGGCAGAACATAGAGAGTTACATCCCCTTGAGAGACAGAGAGGGTAGGCGTGTTGCCTAAACTCAGCAGGACCAGGTGTTAATGCGCTCAGCCAGGGCCTTTCTTGGTTAGGATTCAAGGGCCCTCTCTGGAGTAAGAAGCAGCTCCTTCCTGTGAGTCATCGTCAAAACCCCCAGGACTCCCCTCTTTCCCCGGGGGGATAAGGCACCTGGAGGAAGCCCAGGGCTGTCTGCCATGGGTCAGGGGCCACGTGCACTTCTCTCCAGTG